GAAAGATGTGGGAAAAGCATTTGACAACATCCAACAGCCATTCCTGTTTAAGACACTCAAGAAGACAGGAACAGAAGGGAAATCCCTCAATATTATACAAGCTATAGATGAAAAACCAACAGCCAATGTGGTAATCAATGGAGATAAGACAAAAACAATTCCACTGAAAAGGGGACCAGACAAGAATGTCCCTTGTCCCCACTCCTATTTAACATTGTACTGGAGGTCCTAGCTAACAATATAAGACAAAGAAAAGACATCAAAGGTATTCGTCTGTGGATGGAAGAGGCGAAACTATCATTATTCGCAGACGATATGATTTTATATAACAAAAAAACCCCGAAACTCTAAAAGTGGAGTGTTGGAAGCGATAGAGGAATATGGCAGAGGAGCAAGATACAAGATCAACAAACAGAAGTCTATTGGACTGCTATACACATCAGACAAGGTCACAGAAGAGGTGATTTAAAAGGTAGCACCCTTTACAATAGCCAAGAACAAATTGAAATATCTAGGATATATCTGACTAAATAAACAAAAGACTTGTACGAGGAAAACTATAGAACACTATTGCAAGAAACCAAAGTGACCTCAACAAACAGAAGAATATCCCATGCTCATGGATTAGAAGACTCAATATAGTAAAGGTGTCAGTAAGTTTAATGAAATCCCAATACGAATACCATCACCCTTCTTCAAAGAATTGAAAACTGATTACCAACTTCATATGGAAAGGAAAGAAGCCCAGAATTATCAGAGAACTCCTCAAGAAGAAGGACAAAGTTGGAGGGCTTTCACCTGACTTTAACACGTATTATATGGCCACAGTGGTCAAAATAGCGTGGCACTGGTACAACGACAGATATTCAGACCAATGGAAAAGAGCTGAAGACCCGGAAATAAAAACATCAGCATACAGTCAACTGATTTTTGAGAAGGGCCCAAAATATAACAAATGGGAAGCAAATGACGTCTTCAATAAGTGGTGCTGGAAAAAATGGATATCTGTCGAAAAATGAAGCAAGACCCTTACCTCACTTCATACATAAGAATAAACTCAAGGTGGATCATAGACCTTGAGGTAAAACCCCAAACAACTAGGTCCATTAATTAGGGAATTGGGACAAACCTGAGAACCTTGGCACAGGGAATACATAGGCTATCAGAAATAGGGAACGATGCAAATACAGAAGAGTCAAAAATTGACAAGTGGTATATACTGAAGATAAATTACGTGTGTACATCCAA